ATCATGTTCGAAAGTTCGAACCCTGTATAAGTTAATGGCAACAATGATGTTGGAAATATGTACTACAACGACGACATTCTTCTATTACTTCCAACATGAATCTTCCTCGAAATCTTCGTTATCAGCTCCTCAAGAGTTATGTTTCTCTTGAATGATATTTTAATATGCTCATTTGATACGAAAACAATGCCGGTTTATCTTCTCGAATTTCACCATCATAATAAACAATAGCTGAAAGTCACGCCATTCTTGAGTTTAAAAGTGCGGCAATATTATATCTGCAAAAAAATAACTTAAACAAACCTGATTAAATAAATTATATATAAACAAAAATAGAACACAAAATTTTTTTTACACATCAACGTAAATAATTTAAATAATATAATTTTATATTATTACCTGCACCGCAAAACTATTTCGACGTATGCTCCCGCTTTTCAATTTTAAAAACATAAAATTAATTGAAAATAATTAGTATAATATTTTTTCAAATAATGATAATAAACAATAAGTATAATTAAAAAATTATAACAAAATACCTTATAACGAAAAATCGCACGAACTTCTAAATCAAATATGAGAAGATTGCCAGAATTACTCGTTGACGGAATTGTTATATTAATTTATAAGAGAGGAGATATGCGGAGATGTGAGGAGAGATGTGATATTTATAAACATATAAGGCGTGGTACCGACACCGCGTATATGTAATTATTATATAGCGTGGATCAGGGACCGCGTTAAATATAATTTTGGTACGGCGTATAGCGCAGAGCAGGGGGCGCTATACCCCACGTGTAACCCACTCAGCGTATAGCGCGGTATAGGGGGCACGCTATACTCCACGTGGCACCAAATCAACATATAACGAGTTCAGGGGGGCGCTTTACTGCTACGGGTGTTAGATCAAAAAATATAATGACCGGTGTTAGATCGATAAATATACCGATCATCGATGATTTTGAAGAAAATCACCATAAAAAAACTCTTTATCATTAACTTTTTATCTTTAATATTTCTTTTATTCATATACAAATTTCATTATTATTTTCTCTCAAATATCTTGAGTTCAAGCTCATGTTTATAACATATATATAAATTATAATAAACCTTCTGAACATATTATAATCTAATTACAGTAGAGGATTTAAAAAAAATTGAGGTGGATCCCATATATTAACAATATACATTTTTGATACGATAAAATTTCATGGTGGACATCATAGAATTTCAGGGTAGACACACATATATTAATTAAGAAAACTTCAAATTTTAAAGAAAAATTTGAATTCTAAAAAATTTAAGAGTTGACACGTATTCTCTCTAGTATTCTCTCTAAAATTTTAACTTAAATTTCAGAGTTTATTTTCTCCCTAGTATCTCTAGTTCCGCCACTGCCTGACTATTCAAAAATTTCAGAGTTTATTTTCTCCCTAGTATTCTCTCTAAAATTTTAACTTAAATTTTAAAGTCTCATAATAATATTAATTTAGTGAAATGGGAATAAACTTTTATTCAATAATTAGATACAGAAACCCCATTTAATTATTAGTTCAAATAAAATTAATAAAAAAAATTATATAAGCATTACCATTAAATTTTTGTCGATGATCAAAATAAGAAAAAAAATAAGTTAATGACGATTTTACTAAAAGAAATTAGTTTCTACCAAAATAGGAAAGAAGTAATAGATTGGTGACTATAAGTGTAGTTTACTCAAACAATTAATATAACGAAGTGTCGGTTTAGTCTATCTTTAAATCCGACCCGGTTTCTCAATTTCTCGAATCTCATAATTTCTAGGTCTGTCCTCTTCCAAATAACAATTGGATTGAATTAGAATTAGAATTAGAATTAGAAATAGGTTTTCCCATCCAATTCAGATTAACCCAAAATGCCACAAAGACACTCGAAGAACAACAACGATTTAGCCTTCTTCACATACGATGAGAAGAGGAGGCTAGGGTCGGGACTCAAAAGGAGAGATTGGGAAAAGACTCGATCAAGCCATTCAATGCTTGCTGCCTTTGCTTGAAGCCTTTCATCGATCCTATGTCTTGCCAAAAAGGTCATGTCTTTTGCAAAGAATGCATTCTTGAATGCCTTTTAGCCCAAAAAAAAGGACATCCAAAGGTAACGCTTTTATCCCAGAACCATCGGGTGTTTGTTTCAATGAATCATTGATTTGTATTTGCTCAGTTTATTGTTAGGGTGCATGTTAATGACTTGATTCAGCCCATAACTATTTTATAGATTGCAGTTCAATTAGTAAAAAGAGATACGTTGGGGAATTTTGATATTCCTTTGTTGAAGGGTATATCTTCAAAAAAAAATGCTTAAGGTCTAAGATCTTCAGAAGGTGATTTTTTTGGGGTATTCAGTGGATCATATATGTGGACTTGCATTTATAGTGATGGTTGATGATTCGTGGCCTGAAATTGGAAGAAACAAAACTGAATGTGGAAGCAGAGAAGCTGGTAATGGTAGAGATTATAGACTCTTTAGCTTCTAACGGAAATTTTTGTTTATATTTAGAAATTTGAAGGATGCTTTCAGTTAGTGTGCTTGTGTATGTAGCCGTTAATTTACTCTAGCCATTTTTGCAACATACTGGTGATGATTTTGAGAATGACAGCAATCATGTCACCTGAGATTAATGCCTTTCAGGGTTGTAGATCACCCTTATATCTGTTTCATTTCATGATAAGCTAGAACAGTTTATTCGTTTAATCTATTCAACAATTTGATCAAGTCCGTAGCTTCTATGTTAGTAATTTTCCAATGGCCGGAGGTTAGGAATTGAAAGGTTGCGAGGGGCTAGTAGAGAATCTTTGCCACTCTTCCCCTTTTCATCGAAGCGGGTATGGTTTATATATCTTTGTGAGTTTTAATGTTAAGTAACTTTTTTTTTGGTGGTGTGGGGGGGATGGATTCTGTTTAGCAATAAAATTTGGTAGTCTCGAATGTGAAAACAACCTTTCACATGATTAGAAAAATAATGAAGTAATAAGATTCGGTGCTAGTTAAGTGGATTTCTTGTACTTTATTTTCTTTGAAAATAGAAGTATAAACTGCCGTGCTCGGAATCAGCTCCAAGATGCCATTAGGGTCAATAACAGAAAGTCTGTTTCTTTCATCTGGCAGGAAACTAGCTGCCCCATGCTGCTCAGCAGAAACAAGAGAAGGAAGAGGAGGAGAGGTTACTGTTGCATAAAGCACGAGAGCTTGATGCATTTGATCAGCAAAACCATGGTGCCTTACCGCAATACAATGACAAAAATCACAGCAGCAGAGACAAGAACGGGTTCCATGGGGCAAACAGTGTGAAGGTCACTTCTTTTGAAGAGGAAGCACTCCGTACGATGAAAGCTTTTTGGCTTCCCTCCGCCACTCCAGAAGCACCTGTTAAAGTCGATGCTCCTTCCACCAGTACAATCTGTCCGGAGGGCAAAGAAAACTCAAGCTGAAGACCCTTTTCCCTATTCACTTTACTGAAGATGAAAGTGAAAAGAAGAAATCTGATCTTGACAAGTTATATTTGTCCAAGCTGCAAGGTCACCCTGACTAACACATTATCACTGGTAGCCCTTAGCTCCTGTGGGCACGTTTTTTGCAAGAAATGTGCTGACAGGTTCGTGGCCGTCGACAAAGTTTGTTTGATCTGTGACAAGCCGTGCAAAGAGAGGAATTTGGTTACTTTGGGAAAAGGAGGGACTGGCTTTGCTGGCCATGGGGATCATCTTGAAGCCACTGATTTCAAGCATTTGGGAAGTGGTAGTGGCTTGGGGCTTGTGAGACCTGCGTCTAAGACATAAACCCTTTTTTTTCTTTCCTTGTCTCTCCAAAACCGAAACAAGTTTCATTTTTGCTTTATGCATGTTGGATTCATTATCTTTAACAACATTTTGTTCTAAAATTCTGGTATGAATGTATTTAATCTTGTTGCATCTCTGTAAAATAGTTACGGTCATGTCTTTTTCTGTTTCATGTTTAAATATTTGCAGGCTCAAATCAACTTGTTCCCATTGAGTTCTTGTCAAATAGTCATACACTCGATCAGCAATCAGGTGTTCTGATTTCGAACTTTCTACTCCAAAGTTGTAGCTTTCCTTTCTATGTTTGAAACAAAAACCGAAGGGAATATAGCCTTCATGGCCGAACTATGATTACGTTTTCTCATTCCGAATAGCTTGAAGGAATGGTAATGGTTAAACCACGTGAATTACCAGAAGCTCCACATTTCATTGTTGTTTTACCCAGGTTAACTTGTATGATTCGGGAAATTCTTAGACGGTGTTGACTTTAAGCAATTGTGTTCATTTTAAGGAGAGGAGTTGGAAAGTTCTGTTCATTTCGGAAGGAGGCATGTGTTTCATACATTTTGTCTCTCACCATGACACAGTTTCCAGTTAACAGAAACTGACAACATAACAGTCAATAAAGTCTATTCACAAATAAAATATTCAAATAAAAACTCACTGAATGTGCCACATTTCAAGTGTGAATTGGTGATGCACTCAACATCACGTACCTAACCCTTATGTCAGCCCCCTTTGACATGCAAAATGGTTGCCTAGGCTGTGTTTCTGGCATTCCCCTTTAAAATAACGGGTAAATGATATCTCATACTACTCAATTACTATTAGATTACAATGAGTTGCCGTATCTAAAAATATTACAAACAAATCTCTCAATTAATTGATTGTTACAGATGTGTCATTTTGTCATTAAGTGTTTAGTGAACGTTAACTTTTAATAATAATCGAGTAATCATATTATAAAAATCGATAAATTAAATGACATGATTATTATATTCAATAAATAGAATGACTCAGTAATAAGTTATAACTAAAGATTAACGTCCATTATACGTTTACATAAGAGTGATGATTTGTAGCAATTAATTTAATTGTATGCTTATATTTTTAAAAAATTTAGTGACATTTGTAATATTACTAATAATTAAATTATTTGTGGTGTATTTATCCTAACATAATATTGCTTTTAAACCAAATCATGCTTTCAATAAGTTTTCTTCAACTAGCACACCATTACCAAATTCATATATCAAGCTCTTAATAGACAGGATAAAGTTCAAAACTTATGCTACTGACCCTAATTTGGTACTATATGCCTGATTTCCCTCTGTTTTCTCTGTCATGTAGGCAACTTGAGCACCAAAATCTGGGGTTTTGCTTTTGTTTGCAGAGATGGATATCTATTGAAAAGACTGTAGCTTAAGAAAAGGGGCATGGAGTCCTAAAGAAGACCGGAAACTGACTGCTTATATTAAGATGGGATTTGGAATTGGGCAGAGATGGCTAAACCAGCAGGTGGATTAAGCAAAGAACAATACCCTTCTTTTGTGATTTTACAATTTTGTTTTTTTTATGTGTTTTGTTTTACTTTGTAGGATTACAAAGGTCAGGGAAGAGTTGCAGACTTCGTTGGGTGAATTACTTAAGGCCTGGAATTAAACATGGGAATTTCAGTAGGGAAGAGAGCAAACAACAATTGATTTACATGAAAAGCTTGGAAATAGGTAAGTTTCTGCAACTGGACGAATGGTTTTTTTGAGCTCAAATTTTTATCGAGACCTTTCAGAATTACAAGAAAGATTTGGGATTTTAGGAATTTGAGTGATAGGATTAATACAAGAATCTGGAAATCAAATTTCATGTGGAAATAGTTATAGTTGTTCCTACTTGGTAGTTTATAATATTAGGAATCTTGAAATTTTAGACTCTGTGAAATTGTATGATTGTAAAAGAGTGGGAGTAGATGGAAGATAATATTGTTGGAATTTCTTTCGTATCATGAAGGATATGGTAAATTTTGCAGATGGTCACAATTGCATCAAAATTGCCAGGAAAAACTGATAATGAGATTAAAAACCATTGGCATGCTCACTTAAGAAACGTTTTAAGTACGACCTGAATTCATTGCCTGAGAGTGAACCTTGCCAGCCATCCAATGCTGAAACAGACCGAAATACTTCATTCAGAATTGATCTCCCAGCACACAATGTTCCAAGACCATCTATTTTGGAAAGCTTAGGTTTGATTTCTACCGACATTTTGCCTTCATCGAGCTCGAATCCACCGTTTGAAATCGAATAAAAGCCAAACATCAAGGGTCCGTTGGTTCATTGACAACTTCAAAGTATAATAGGCCATTAGTTCATTGTTTTCAGCAGCAGCCAGCTCTCAGCTGGTGTTTGTTCATGTATACCAGGGTAATTCCTACAATGATGTTTGACACGATTAAATCTCTTTTTTGATCTCAAATTTTTAGCTGCTACACTCATTTGGTTGTATGTTGAAGATGATATTGTAAAATGTTGTACACTTGGTATTAATGTATCATCAAATGACAAAGAACTTTGATGTTCTTTATGTAATATTTCAAGTTTGAATCTCGACGTAAACACTAACAAGTAACACTATTTTAAACATTTGAAGCCATGTTCTTGTTTCGAGTTTGAATCACGTCGTAAACACTAACAAGTAACACTATTTTATACATTTGAAGCCATGTTATGTCTTTCATGTCAGCAGCTGCTCCCTTGGTTACATTTAAAAAGAAAGAAAACCCATTAAACAAAATGAATTATCTTTACCCTTCTACTTTCACTGCATAAACCAATCAATTTTCGACTACGCTTGATGTTTGAATTAGAGAAGTACATAGAAGAGGGAAACGGTTAAGAAGAAAGTAAAATTGTATTTAAGAAATAAAGACGATGAACAAAACATCTTGATTAAAATCAGCTTGAATAGGCCGAGGCAAACAAAGCCTACTTATACAACAAAGGCCCAAAGTCAACAAAGAAGACTTAAATGAACAAGACTGAATCATAACAGAAATCGTTAGGCAGTTGCACCTATAGAGACTATCTCTATCATTCTCCTGGTCCTTTTTCTTCCTAAATCTCCTCAGCAGAAACCACTGAGAGTCTCCTTCGAATATGCTAAAAAGGAGGAATTGGCTTGGTTAAAACATCAGCCACCTGCTCAGCGGAGGGAACAAAGTTAACTACAAGTTGACCACCAAAACTCTTTCCTGAACAAATGATAATCCAGTTCGACAGGCTTAACTTAGTATGATGAGTTGGATTAGTAGCCATCGACACTGTTAAGTGTTATCACACCAAGCAACAGGAACACTGGACAACTGAACACCGATTTCTTTCAACAAGTGTTCAACCCAGACCAGCTCAGAAACAGTATTAGCCAAGCTTCTGTACTCTGCTTCAGAAGTTGATCGATAGACAACTGGTTGCTTCTTTGAAGACCACGCAACAAGATTGGGACCCAAAAAGATACAGTACCCAGTAGTTGACCTTCTATCTTCAACAGAAGAAGCCCAATCAGCATCAGCATAACACACCAAATTACATGCTTCATCTGCTTTGAACATTAATCCATAACTAAGAGTGCCACTAAGATATCGCAGTAGACGTTTGACAGTTTTCCAGTGACTGTCATAAGGCTTGTTCATGTACTGACTCACTTGATTTACAGTACAAGTTATATCAGGACTTGTAAGGCAAACATACTGTAATCCCCCTATTATACTTTGATATAAATGAACATCAACAAATTCCAGTCCATCATCATCCCTGAGTTTGGGCACAACAATTATAGGAGTGGGAGTAGGCCTGGTTTGATGATGCAGGGGGATCCGAGACAGATGATGCTGAGCTGTCAGATTGCACGTTGATGGCGCTGAGATACCATGAGTTGGCAGATCAGCGCAAAGGCGGGAATTGATTGTGACATGTTCCTTATTGGGGTCGTTTTGAGTATGTTTCAGTCTTTTGGCCATAACTTTGGCTACAGGTGTCAGAATCGCGCATAAGACCCCAATCCGGAAAGCTCTTTTCGACGCGCACGCTCTCCACATGGAGCTATGCTCCATGTGGCCTTTTTTTCAACCTCAAATTCTGCCGTTTTCCCCTCCGAATCACTAGATTTAGTTATTTTTTACTATTTATGGTAATATTTCGATTGTTAATTAGGAAGTCAATTTAAATCCGATTTAGACCGGATTTTTGGGAGATTGCTTATTTTATTTCGAATTTCAATTTAGAGTGATTTTCGGGATTTTGCTATTTTTGGCAAAATTCGAATAAATACGATTTTTGCTATTTTTGGCAAAATTCGAATAAAGACGATTTTTTTAGCTATAACAGTCCGGCTTGTGGACTGCTTTTGGGACAGTTATTGATTTTATAATATTTTATTAAACCCTAGAGACTTTTTTCTCTGGTTTTTGGGCGAATTTTCTCTTGTGAATCGTCTGTCGGAGCTAGCCTACAGGATAATCACTATTCTGTCTGGCGTCAGTTGGTATCAGAGCTTCAACATCTTCTTGGGAAATTTCACCAGTTTCAATGGCTGGAGGTCGTGGTCGTGGTCGTCGTGAGCAGGTTCCGAATGAGGAAGCCCAACGCCGTGATCGCAGCGTTCAGGATGTGATGATTGCGGATTTGCAGAGGCAAGTCGCAGAATTAACCCAGCGCCTAGCGGCGCAGGATTTAGAGGATCGTGAGGCCTCTGATCACGATACAAATTCCACTTTCGAAAACCCATATCACAATCGCGCAGGATTCCGGGGGCAGGATTCCGGAGCACCGTGGTCGGGAGGAGCGTCATGGAGACCTCGGTTTTCGGGTCGATCTCCCTGAGTTTTCTGGTACATTACAGGTCGAGGGATTCGTGGATTGGATTAATGAAGTGGAGCGTATTTTTGAATATAAGGAAGTCCCCGATCGTGTGAAAGTGAAACTGATCGCCATCAAACTCAAGGGCAGAGCATCTGCGTGGTGGGAACAGTTTACGACGTTCACGAGAAAGACAGGGCAAAGCCAAGATCACTGATTGGGAGAAGATGAAAAAGAAGATGAAGGGCCACTTCCTTCCCTTCGGCTACACGCAAACCTTATTTCAGCGACTTCATGCGTTGAGGCAGGGCGCGCGATCAGTCGATGATTACACGGAGGAGTTTACCATTGGTCGCCCGGAACGATTTATCTGAGACGGAGGAGCAGATGGTGGCGCGATATTTGGGGGTTTACGCCAGCCCTTGCAAGATGTCCTCAGCCTTCATTCATTGTGGAGTGTTTCGGAAGCATACCAGCGTGCACTTGCTGTTGAAAAACAGCAAAACAGGAGACCAGTGATCAGGAGCGATCACAACAGTCGACCAGTTCGCCCTCAGAGTCCCGTCCTGCTCAGCAGCCACCGCAGGTAATTCTAACCCTACTATTAGATGTTTTCGTTGTGGTGAACAAGGGCATAGGGCGACTGATTGCAGGAAGCCTGCTAGTCAAAAGGCAAAAATTTGTTGATTGAGGAAAACGTGGAAGACGAGACTGAGGAGATTGGCGAACCCGTGTATGACGATGATGACTGATGATGCTGTATGGAGATGGTCATGAGACTCTGGTCGTTCGCAAGAGTCTACTTACCCCCAAGGGCGATTCAGGGGACGATTGGTTGAGAACCAATATTTTCCACACGACTTGTACAGTTGCAGATAAAGTCTGCAAAATGATCATTGACAGCGGCAGTTGTGAGAATGTAGTGTCCGAGGAGGTTGTCCAGAAATTGCAGTTGAAGACGGACCGTCATCCTAAGCCATACAAGTTGTCATGGCTAAATAAAGACAGTGAGGTAACAGTTGATAGGCGATGCCTGTGTCTTTTTCAATTGGTAGAAAATATTTTGATAATGCCTGGTGTGATGTTGTGTCTATGGATGCGTGTCATATATTGTTGGGTCGACCTTGGCAGTATGATCGTAGTGTCATTCATGATGGACGGAAGAATACATATTCCCTTAGCATCAAGGGAAAAAAGATTGTGTTGGCACCCCGGCGGGAAGGACTTACTCCTACCCCAGTAACCCATAATACTAATCTGCTTTCTATGTCCAGGTTTTTAGATGAGATTGAGCATGGCGACGTGGTCTATGCCTTGCTACCTTGCGAGAACAATGCAGTAGACGTGGATACAGATTTACCAGTAGAGGTGCAGCGGTTGCTAGCAGAATTCTCTAACTTGATGCCAGAGGATCTTCCTCCTGGACTACCACCTATGAGGGATATTCAGCATCAAATTGACCTTGTTCCTGGGTCAAGTTTGCCAAATCGACCAGCATATCGCCTCAGTCCCAAGGAGCCGAAGAGTTGCAGCGACAGGTGGAAGAGTTGTTGGAGAGGGGCTATATCCGAGAGAGTATGAGCCCATGTGCAGTCCCTGCTCTGTTAGTGCCAAAGAAAGATGGTTCTTGGCGTATGTGTTGACAGCCGAGCGATCACAGAATTACAGTGAAGTACCGGTTTCCAATTCCCCGTCTAGATGATATGTTGGATCAGCTATCTGGTTCTAAGATCTTCTCAAAAATTGACCTTAAGAGCGGTTACCACCAAATCAGAATAAGGCCTGGAGATGAGTGGAAGACGGCGTTTAAAACGCCACAAGGGTTGTATGAGTGGATGGTCATGCCTTTTGGGTTATCCAATGCGCCCATACATTCATGAGATTTATGCATCAGGTCTTGCGGCCTTTTATGGGGAAATTTGTTGTAGTTTACTTCGATGATATCCTCGTTTATAGTCCGACATGGACTTCACACTTCGATCACCTCCGTGCTGTTTTGAGATGCTGAAAACGGAGTGCTTGTTTGTCAATCAAAAGAAGTGTTCTTTCTTCACTACTTCTGTGACTTTTCTTGGTTTTGTTGTGTCTACTGATGGTGTTCATGCAGATCAGTCAAAAATAGATGCAGTCTTGGAGTGGCCCAGACCAGAACCTTACATGACATCCGAAGTTTCCATGGCTGGCGTCTTTTTACCGTCGATTCATTAGAAATTTCAGTACTCTGATCGCCCCTATCACAGAGTGCCTCAAGGGGCGTGATTTCCAGTGGTCTGAGGAGGCAGAGGCCAGTTTTCAACTGGTCAAGCAGAAGATGACCGAGGCTCCATTTTGGCACTTCCAGATTTTGACAAAGTGTTCGAGGTAAATTGTGATGCATCTGGCGTTGGCATTGGTGGTGTTCTGAGTCAGGCAGGTCGTCCGGTTGCTTTTTTCAGTGAGAAGCTATCGGGATCAAAGAAAAATTATTCCACTTATGATCTGGAGTTCTATGCCATAGTTCATCCCTGAAGCATTGGCGTCACTACCTAGTACAGAAGGAGTTTATTCTGTTTACCGATCATGAGGCCTTGAAGTACATCAATGGCCAACACAAGCTGAGTAGACGTCATGCCAAGTGGGTAGCATACTTGCAAGAATTCACTTTTACGCTGAGGCACCAAGCAGGGATTTGAACCGCGTCGCAGATGCCCTGAGCCGTCGTACCTTACTTCTCACCACCATGAGTACTAAAGTTGCAGGATTTGAGACGTTCACAGATATGTATGCAGCTGATCCTTCCTTTGGAAGGATATTTCAGGAGGTAACTGAGGGTCACCGTCATGATTTTGTTTTGCATAATGGGTATCTGTTTCGTGGATTACAATTGTGCATTCCAGATTGTTCATTGAGGCAGCAAATTATAAGTGAACTCCATAATGAGGGACACTTTGGCCGAGATAAGACATTGGCCCTTATCTCTTCTGAATTTTATTGGCCCAAGTTGACTAGTGATGTGGCCCATTATGTGGACCGTTGTTATGTGTGCCAGCGATCTAAGGGAGTTCTCACCAATGCGGGATTGTACACTCCCTTACCTGTTCCTGAAGCTCCTTGGTTCGATGTCAGCATGGATTTTGTACTAGGCTTACCCCGCACCCAAAGGGCCTCTGATTCTATCTTTGTTGTGGTTGACAGGTTTTCCAAGATGGCTCATTTTGTAGCTGCAGAAAGACTATGGATGCTGACCGGATTGCCCATCTCTATTTCAAGGAGATTGTGCGTTTACATGGTGTTCCTCGATCCATCACTTCAGATCGTGATACTAAGTTCATCAGTCATTTCTGGAAGAGCCTGTGGGGAAACTGGGAACGCAGTTGAATTTCAGTAGCGCCTACCACCCCCAGACGGATGGCCAGACTGAGGTGGTGACCGAAGTTTGGGAAACCTTTTAAGGTGTTTGCAGGAACGAAGCCGAAGCAGTGGGATTTGGCATTGCCTCAGGCAGAATTTGCCTACAACAGATCAAAACAGAACCACAGGTTTAAGCCCATTTGAGATTGTCTATGGTCAGAACCCATCCGGGGTGTTGGACTTAGCCCCTATTCCACGTATAGGACGTTTCAGTCCTAAAGCAGATGAGATGGCAAAGTATCTTCGGGTATCCATGAGCAGGTGAAACAGACCATTCATGAGAGAAATACCAAGTACAAGACTCGGGTCGACAATCATCGTCGTCAGGTACTTTTTGATGTTGGTGATTTTGTTTGGGCTGTATTAACTCGTGATCGTTTTCCTGTTGGTGAGTATAATAAGCTTAAGGATCGGAAGATTGGACCTTGTGAGGTCGTGCAGAAGATCAATGATAATGCTTACAGGTTGCGACTTCCCAGTCACTTGAAGACTTCTGATGTCTTTAATGTGAAGCACCTGAGTCATTGTTTTGTGGATCCTGATGACACTACTCTGAACTCGAGGACGAGTTCTTTCCAACCCGGGGCGACTGATGCAGGGGATCCGAGACAGATGATGCTGAGCTGTCAGATTGCACGTTGATGGCGCTGAGATACCATGATTGGCAGATCAGCGCAAAGGCGGGAATTGATTGTGACATGTTCCTTATTGGGGTCGTTTTGAGTATGTTTCAGTCTTTTGGCCATAACTTTGGCTACAGGTGTCAGAATCGCGCATAAGACCCCAATCCGGAAAGCTCTTTTCGACGCGCACGCTCTCCACATTGAGCTATGCTCCATGTGGCCTTTTTTTCAACCTCAAATTCTGCCGTTTTCCCCTCCGAATCACTAGATTTAGTTATTTTTTACTATTTATGGTAATATTTCGATTGTTAATTAGGAAGTCAATTTAAATCCGATTTAGACCGGATTTTTGGGAGATTGCTTATTTTATTTCGAATTTCAATTTAGAGTGATTTTCGGGATTTTGCTATTTTTGGCAAAATTCGAATAAATACGATTTTTGCTATTTTTGGCAAAATTCGAATAAAGACGATTTTTTTAGCTATAACAGTCCGGCTTGTGGACTGCTTTTGGGACAGTTATTGATTTTATAATATTTTATTAAACCCTAGAGACTTTTTTCTCTGGTTTTTGGGCGAATTTTCTCTTATGAATCGTCTGTCGGAGCTAGCCTACAGGATAATCACTATTCTGTCTGGCGTCATTTGAGCCATACCAGCCTCGACAAGCAACTCAATGTATTTTCTCTGAGTCAGCAACAAACCAGTGTCATTATGCTGAACTTCCATGCCTAGAAAGTGATCAGGCTCTCCTAGGTCCTTTAAAGCAAACTCGACAGTAATCATGTTAACAACATCACTCACTTCATCAATATTAGCACCAATGATGATAATATCATCAACATATATAATCAGAAGAACACTTCTATCATTAGTTCCTCGAATAAACAATGAGGTATCAGTCTTAGCTGCAACAAAACCCATTCTCCCAACCAGAAAGCTTTTAAGAGTATCAAACCATGCACGGGGTGCTTGCCTAGGCCCATAGAGAGCTTCCTTAGCTTACACACCAATTTCTCCCCCATTGGACCATGTGTTTCAAATCCTGGAGGCTGTTGCATATAAATCTCCTCATCAAGCTTTCCATTCAGAAACGAATTGTTAATGTCCACCTGACGAACATGCCAATACTTCATGACAACAGTAGCTAAGACTATTCGAACAGTAGCAGCACAAACAACTGTGCTAAAATTCTCTCTGAAGTCACAACCAGCCTACTGAGAAAAACCCTTGGCCACTAGGCGAGCCTTCAACCTTTCAACAGAGCCATCTGTTTTCTTCTTGACTTTGAAAATCCTTTTACAGCCCACAAGCTTGCGATCTTGAGGTAAAGGTTACAGTTCCCATGTGTTATTCTTAAGAAGAGCAGAGTTTTCGTCATGAACAGCCTGTCTTCACTCAGGATACTGAAGAGCTTCAAAAACATCAGCAGGTTCCTTGTACTCACACTCGGTCAAAAACACCTTAGGCTTGAATATCCCAGCTTTTCTTATAGTGATCATAGGATGATCATTTCGAACCAAAACAGATGAAGATGGAGGTAGAGATGGATGAGGTGGTGAAAGATGTGATGAAGATGGAAATGGTAGCGAAGATGATAATTGTGGTAGTATTGGAGGTGAGAGAGATGGAGATGATAATGTCGGTGGAAAAGATTGAGATGGAGAATGAGAAGATGAAAAAGGAAAAGATAAATGAGAAGATGAAAAAGAAAAAGATAAATGAGAAGATGAATGAAAACCCAAACGTTGTGACTGAGGAGAACTAGAGGATGTACTTTTGGAAAACGCAAATGAACACACCGAGTCTAGTATCTGAAAAAGAACCAACATTTGGGTTTGGAACAGCTGGACTGATATTTGGACTTGGAACAGCTGGACTGACACCTTGAGGAGACACAATATTTGGGCTAGGACTAGCTGGACTAACATTTGGAATGGACACAATAGGACTAAGACTTTGAGAAGACACA